GCATCCTAGCTGGCTACCCCCCCAATAACTTCCTTCCCTCCGGGGTCTCCCCTCAGCCCACCTCTCCCACTTGGCTGTGGTACGTGGAGCCTCCCTGGTCAGAGGGCATTTCGGTATATCCTGCAGTGGGGCTGGTATCCTCCCTTTCTGTCTTCTGCAGAGAACAAAGGACCTCCCACCACCAGTCCTTTCTCTTCCAGGGTTTGAAAGAGGAGGTGCCCTATTTACAGTCCATCCCTCAGGAACGTTTCCTTGCTTCCGTTCCTTCTTTTTTTCTGCCTCTGGATGACCTGGTGCAGAGGTGGGATTCAGCCGGTTCCAACCAGTTCTGGAGATCCGGTAGCGGAAATTTTGAGTAGTTTGGAGAACCTGCCAACCCCATTTCTTCTCTGCCTCCCGTCGAGTCCCAGCTGATCGGCTGGATCTTCTTTGGTTGCCCTGCACAGGAGAAGGGAGCTGGAAAGCAGGATAGTGGGGTGGGGAGGGAATGGGGATTTTGCAATATCCTTCCCCTGCCACGCCCACCAAGCCACACCCACAGAACCAGTAGTAAGATTTTTTGAATCCCGCCACTGCCCTGGTGGTTGGGGACACTCATGACTGTATAAGGGAGCAAACTTGGAAATGCTTCTCAGGGGCTTCCCTTCCTTTCCCTTTTCTTTGCTTTGATTTCACAGGGATTGGAGACTAAAACATACAATGAACGGTTGCAGGAACTGGGCCTGGCTAGTCTAGGGAAGAGAAGGACCAGGGGAGACAGGATAGAAGTCTTCCAATATTCGAGGGGCTGCCACAGAGAGGAGGAAGGGGGTCAAGCTATTCTCCAAGGCACCTGAAGGCCAGACAAGGAATAATGGATGGAAACTGAACAAGGAGAGATTCAACCTGGAAACAAGGAGAAACTTTCTGACAGGGAGAACAATCAACCCATGGAACAGAAGTTGCCTTTGGAAATTGTGGGAGCTTCAACGCTGGAGGCTTTCAAGAAGAGACTGGGCTGCCACCTGTCAGAGATGGTGTGGGATCTCCTGCTTGGGGGGGTTGGACTAGATGACCTACAAGGTCCCTTCCAACTCTGATTATCTGTTATCATTTTTTAAAAAATAGTAGTCCAAAGGAAGGAGGACATCAGGCTCCTACATTTCAATGCGAGGAGGCCAGAGGAAATTCATTTGGTCAGTTTCAGTGGCCTTTGCACACAATTATGAGAAAAAACACGGACTTCCACTCCTCTTTTGAACCAGCCTGTTCTCCGCTTGGAACAAATTCTACTTGGAAAAACTGCTTGTTCACTACATGGATGTAAACCATCAATAAATAAAAACAGAACAGTGCAAACAGAATTGCTAAGACATTCTGATAGAATCAAAACTGACATGTTCCCAAGACTCGCCAAAGTAAAAAGCATTGGGAAAACAAAGGTCTTCAAAACAATGTGTGTATGTGTGTGTGTGTGTGTTGTTTGTGTGTGAATGCAGATGTGATCCACCCAGTAGCAGCTTCCTCATGGCATCTTCACTTGATGAACCACCAGAGGAAGATTTTTTTTAAAAAAGCTTTCTTTTCACCACCCGAAGGCGCCCAGGCTTCAAAGATAGCTGATACTTTAGGGAAGGTAATTTATGTTAGCAAGCCATGAAAACTTCCCAAAATGGGAACAACCCCCCCCTCCACCCCCTTGGCCAGGGCAGCTTGGCCAAGCTGAGAAGGGCAGGCTCAGGTGAGGAGGGGGAAGGGAGATCAGTGAAGCAGATTGCCTTTCTCTTTGAGAAATTGAGAAGGAAAGAAACCCAGTAATTTATCCAAGAGAAAAGCTGATGATAACTTGAGATGCCTTGGATGTATTTTGCACCTGTAGAGTTTGGGCTGTCTTGGAAGGGGGGGGGAGCTGCCCTGTGCATTTTTCAACCCTTTGGGCTTCCCCAAGGAGCAGCAAATGCCGGGGTGGGTAGGTGGAGGGTGGAGTCACTTTTTTGGCTGCCGCTGCACACTGTTGGCTCATATTTAGCTAGGTTCCAAGAGCCAAGGGAGTTTTTGGACAAATGCTCTTGGCATCAAGGAAGCACCTTGGATGGATACAGTTATGATCCAGGGAAAAACAGCCTCCCTGGGTGGAGTATTGGTAAGAGTACCAGTCACAGTCCAATCAGAGATGTGTGAATGGGGCAAATTTGTATTCCTCCTTGGTCTCTCCCTCCCTACATGAAGTAGGGAATATGGGTTCTGCCATATGGGTTTTCTTATTTAGCATCACATGTAAAAAAGCCACCACAGAATTGACCAGCTCTGGGGTGGATGCTATAATAGCAAGAGCAATATCACTTAGACTTCTATACTGCTTCATAGTGCTTTCCAGCCGTCTCTAAGCGTTTTACAGAGTCAGCCTCTTGTCCCCCAAAATCTGGCTCCTCATTTTACCCCACTTGGAAGGATGGAAGCCTGAGTCACCCTTGAGCCTGGTGGGATTTGAACTGCCAAATTGAAGGCAGCTGGCTGCAGAAGTAGCTTTCAGTACTGCACTCTAAGCACTGCGCCACAGAGGCTCTGCTCTGCTGATCTGCTCCCATTGGACATGCTCTCTCTTCTCTTCCCACTGGCGTCTGCTTGGCTGCCGGCAAGTCCAGGGGCAGCAGGAGGAGATGCAGTGCCAGGCAGCCTCTGCATGGCACACCTCTGCATCCTTGCGCCTATCCAGCAAAGTCTGCGGGCCGATCGAACCGTTCAGGCTGCAGCCGGGGGTCCCTCCTGGCCAGGTGCAGCTGGAGCTCCCTTGTGAACGAAATGGCTTCCCTTCATCCACCACAGTCAGCCTGGTGACGGCTTGATCGATTTATCGATCAACTGCTGAGATGGCCACGTGCTCCCAAACTGCCCCGGGTGGCTCTGCTAGTCCTTTGCAGACATCTGGAGGGCCCCAAAGTGGGCTGGCAGTGCCAATTCTGGCATTTGCAAGAGGGGTCTTTACGGCTTTAAACTTGGGAGAGCCAAGCTCAATTTTTATGTATTCAGCCTTCACATTTATATGCATTTTCCTCCCTGACTGATGTTTTGCCTACAGTACTGGCTGAAGGGAGCCAGCGCGCATTGGCTGCACCATGTTTAACAATCTTGTTGCGATCTTGTTTTTATTTATGTGTAATTGCTTTTGGTTTAGTGCAGGGGTGTCAAACTAGATTTCATTGAGGGCCGTATCAGAGTTGTGTTTGACCTCAGGGGGCCAGGGTGGGTGTGCCAGAGTGGGCATGGCCAGCTCAGTGTCACTCATGTCGGGGGTGCCTTTGGAGGCCTGAGTGCTCTGCCGGAGAAAATGGACTCCCCAGCTCCATTTCCGGCTGCGACAGCCTCCTGCAACCCTCTGCCAGCGAAATCGGAGCAAAAACGCATGTGGCCCTCCCAAGCTCCATTTTCTCTGGCAGAGGCACCATGGGCCAGATCTAAGCACCCTGTGGACCGAATCTGGCTCATGGGACTTGAGTTTGACACCCCTGGTTTAGTGGTTTTACCAAATATTTTATAATATTTATAAAAGTGGTTTTATAATGTATTGTTTTATTGCATGCCACCCAGAGTCCCCTTCCATGGTTGAGAAGAGAGGTCATATAAACCCAATCGGTGGTGGTATTCAAATCTTTTTACTATCGGTTCTGTGGGTGTGGCTAGGTGGGTGTGACAGGGTACTGCAAAATCCCCCTTCCTTCCCCACCCCATTAACCTGCTTTCCAGCTCCGTTCTCCTGGGCAGGGCAACCAAAGGAGACCCAGCCGATCATCTGGGACTCAATGGGAGGCGGAGAAGAGATGGGGTTGGCGGGGCCAGTCAGAGGTGGGATTGGCCGGTTCTTCGAACTACTCAAAATTTCCGCTACCGGTTCTCCAGAACTGCTCAGAACCGGCTGAATCCCACCACTGAACTCAATAAATAGATATGTATGGTTGTCCTTCTGCTCTGAACATGGGTGGTAAAAAGCCCGCAGACCCATCGTTGCAAGGGTGGAGTGAATCTGGATGCCCGATGAACAGAATCGCTGATACCATCACACCAGTTTGTCAGAAGAAACAGATTGTGGCACTTGGGGATTAGCTCTGCCTCTGAAGCAGAGGTGGGATTCAGCAGGTTCTGACAGCTGTGGAGAGCCAGTAGTGGAAATGTTGAGTAGTTCGGAGAACCGGCAAATCCCACCTCTGACTGGAGATTTTACAGTCTCCTTCCCCTGCCACGCCCACCAAGCCACGCCCATAGAACCAGTAGTAAAAAAAATTTGAATCCCACCACTGCTCTGAATATGAACCACCCAGGAATTGTAGGTCTCCCTGGACATATCAGTGATTTGCAGTGCTGGTTAAATGCAGAAGGAGAGTCAGATGTTTGTGCCATTGTCTTAAGTGACGGACTCACTCCGGAGTTTGGGCACCCCTGGATAAAGATCAGTCTCTGCCTCTTGTTTCCTCATTGTTCCTGGGCACAAAGGGCTGAATCTGGATTAAAATGAATCTGCTAAGACTGTTGTTTGGATTAGAGTAGCAGACAAACCAACCACTTGATCTAATCGCATCCCTTGGGCCCTTTTCCTCAATCTCCAAGTGTTTTGGATTCCAGCTCCCATCCATCTTGGCTGTGGCCCATGGTCACTAGAGTTAGCAAAGGCCCCTGCAGAGCCTGACTTTACTGGCCACTAATTCACAGAGACGAATGGCTTTCTCTGCAGAATCCTTCATGAGAAAAATCTTGCAAGGTCTGTTTCTACACCACCACCCCACACTCCACATAAAGTTGAGAATCTTGTTACATCCGTAAGTTAAACAAATGCATCTTATTTTTTTAAAAGATGGGAAAACAAATTACTTCTGCCTTACAAAATCCACATTAAATGCAAAATCAGGATGTGGAGTGCAAGAAATGGCAGGGATAACATGGGGTACCCCAAGGATTATCCCTAAGCCGGACTGAAGACTTATTCACGAGCCCCCTATTAACCTGCACCCTCACTTTTCTCGTTGCAGTTTGTTGCTTCGTTGTCCACAAGAGGTGCCATGAGTTTGTTACCTTCTCCTGCCCAGGGGCCGACAAGGGACCTGCCTCCGACGTGAGTAAACTCAGCAGAGCTGGCCGGAAGGATGTAGGGAACGGTTGAGGGGGTGACACCAAGAGGGCCAGCCTGGGGTTGTGGTTGACCCCATGGAGCCCATTCCCCAGCTGGGGATACTCAGGGGGTGCTTTGGGGGTCACACTCCATGGAGGGAAAGTGGGTGTGTGATTTACACCATCTAAAGGCAGAGTGTACGTGGGTATAAAGCCAATTGGCTCCATTTGGAGATCTAAAAAGAATTAATAATCAAAATTGCACATTTCATGTGGTTTGATTTGAACAGGAAGAAAGTTCACTTCACACTTGAATGTTCAGGCCTTGCACAGCCTTTGCAGCTGGTGTCCTTAATTCCGTTTAAGTGCCATGCGTGTGTGCTTGTTGTGTGTGTGTGTATTTTAGCCCATCTACAAAAAGGAAGGGAAGGCTAAGCCTGGAGAACAGAATCGAGGCCTGTCCGGGATCAGGACACCTGATGCATTTCAGGCCTCCCACCTCAGGAAAATTATCTTAATTTACAGGGGTGTCTGCAAAGGGAGTGGAGTTCTGATGTTTAAACCAGGGGTGTCCAACCTTGGCAACTTTAAGACTTGTGGACTTCAACTTCCAGAATTCCCCAGCCAGAAAAGCCTGGTTTAAAAGATCAGAGGGGGAGGGGCTTTGATCACATGGCCTGGGCATCATTGTGATATTCT